AAGAGACAACTGTGGCTGAAATGTATTTGCTTTTTGCAACAATAATGCTTATGCCTCATGTCTATAAGCATAATATAAAATCATACTGGTCCACAGATCGGCTGATTTCTACCCCGTCCTTCAGTGATATCATCCCAGTGAACAGGTTTATCTTATTGTTACGTATGTTGCACTTCTCTGACAAAACCAGGCCTGACAGAAGTGACAGGTTATACAAGATTAGAAATGTTTTTATGCATCTCAAACAAAAGTTCAAAATGTACTTTTATCCATTGAAGAATCTTGTAATTGATGAGTTTTTTATTTTGTTCAAAGGTAGACTGTCGTTCAAGCAGTATATACCGAGCAAGAGGAAACGCTTTGGTATAAAACTTTGTACTCTGTGACTGTGACAGTGGCCTGGTATTGGATATTATTGTATACACGGGAAGTAAAACATTGAAAGATACCAGTATGTTATTGGGAATCAAGGGGCATACATTATATACTGATAACTGGTACACAAGCCCTTTACTCAGTGATTTCTTGTGAGTGAACATGACAGATGTGTGTGGCACAGTGTGTTCTAATTGTAAACATATGCCCAGGCTCAACGCAGGTGCTCGTGGTGATGACGTGCAGGTGTTTACTGCCAATGACATCATGACATTATGGTGGCATGACAAACGAGATGTCACATTGTTGACAACCATTTACCTTATCTAAATGCAAGACAGTGGCAAAGTTGATAGAGTTACTAATGAACATATTCGAAAACCAGTGACAGTGATTGATTATACACAAAACATGCGTTTGGTTGACAAATGTGACATGCAGATTGGCTTTGTTGATTGTGTTCGTAAGAGTTACAAGTGGTACATGAAACTTTTCTTCCATCTCATGGACATTTCAATGCTCAATGCATATAATGTGTACCAAATGAAGACCAGCAACAGACCACCATATGGTGAATTTTGTTTGTCTGTTGTCAGACAACTCATAATGAAGTACCAGGTAACAACACCTGCTCAGAAGAGATGTGTTGTTTGTACACAAACAAAACAATGGCAACAAAGACACTCGGTTTATGTGTGAGGAATGTAAGGTACCTCTGTGCACGGTACCTTGTTTCAAGGACTTCCACAGGCTGCAGCAGTTTTAGAAACATGTCCAGTGACTGTACATATGTAAATATATAACAGAACATTAGTATTATACAACATTTGTGCATGTTTATTGTAGTAAACAATAGTGGTAAACAATATTATAATAACTTTAGTGCAGTTATTGTGTTCAATACAGTGAGTGTATGTATATACAGTAGGGCCCGCTTTGCGGCGTTTTGCATTACGGCGTTCCGCTAATATGGTCATTTCAAATCATGACCAAAACTCACTATACGGCTCCCCCACCTTACTTTCTAATACAGTCACCGCGCCCCACCCGGTTTGTTTACATTCTCTGTGAGATCCGTAAGCACTAAATCTCTCCGTTTTGTCTGGAAACTCCAAAATTTTAAGTGTTTTTAAAAGTTATTTCATATTTTATATATACTCTGATAATTATACTTAGTATACCTGTAATTAAAATAAACTTACACACTGTGCTGGCATGCAGGTACACATTAAAATCAGTAAGAGTGTCTTATGTCTCCAGAAGTCATATTAGTAATGATAATAATAATCACCGAGTCTCATTTAAATGTCGTATATTACGTTAATATACACATTTTCATTAATCCATCTATAATATTTTTTCAAAATTATTTAATAAACACGATGCATAACATATAAATATGATAAATACACCCCACAGAAGAATAAATAAACATAAATATAAGATGTGGTAGCAGACGACTTGCACAAGTGACGCCATAATAGAAATAATAATAATAATAATATAAAATATTTTAAATAAAAAATCCTAAATGAACAGAATTCTTCCTCAAAAACTGTTTAAGGGAAAAATGCCAGGAAAAGGGTTTTAAAAACCCCTTTAAAATTTAAAAATTTTAAAGGGGGAAATTTTTACTTTTGGCTCCCCCCGGTCGGTGGTTTGAAAGAAAGAATAATAATAATAAAATTCATTAAATTTAATACTTAAATAATTAAAATTTCATTAATCCTCCATGATTTTTTTAAAATTATATAAAAGCATGAACATAACATATAAAATGATAAAAACCTCAACAAAAAAATAAAAATAAATTTAAATTTGGGTGGGCAGATAACTTGTCAAGAAAAAAAAATTTTCAAATTATAAATGTGAATTAGGTTTGAATTATTCTTTTTTTATAATTTATTCATTAAAATACATTAAAATTTAAAAAAATATGAAAGAAAAATACCAAAAGTGACATTTTCCATAGCAATAATTTTTCTAATTTATAAAAAGTGTTCTTTTTATTATACCTATAATTAAACATTTGTACACACGAAATTTCAAAAAAATTCCATTTTTTTTAAAAACTTACTGCTTTTTTCAAATTTAATATAAATAAAAAGTTTTGGGTTTCACCTGGATGAAAATCTAAAATTAAAGGGGGGTGGAAACCTTGGTACCCCATTCATAACCACATTAATTAAAATAATAAACTTTTTCCCTATTTTGATAAATTTTAAGAAAATGGAAAATTAATATGCATTTACCCGGGATTTGTAAAGAATATTGTCCTGGTATGGGGGGCCGGGCCCCCGTGTTTTAAAAATTTTTTTATAGAAGACTATAAATTTAAGGAAGTAATTGTGTATTGTTTTTTTTTTTTTTTTTACCTAGTTCTATTGCTAACTTAACATATGTTAGTGTAAACTTGTTATCTAGTATTTGTATGCATTTATAAGTAGAAAAAAAGGGTGTTCCACTTTACGGCGATTTCCGCTTTACGGCGGTAGCCTGGAGCCTAACCTGCCATATAAGTGGGGCCCTACTGTACATTATATACAGTATTGGTCTCACAGGCTACAAATGTTACAAGAAAAAGAAACACTTAGAAAAGAAAAGAAAAAAGTATAAAAAACGTAAAATAAAGAAATGCGATTTTGCGGAAGCCGCTGATGTTGCCACCACCCGGTCATTCTGAGTCAACTTCCCGCCTCTATATCTCGGTAATTACTGATCAGATTTTTTTTTTATTACCTTCACAAAAATATTATCTTTAATTCTGTAAGATTTTTTTTTTTTTTTTTTTTTTTTTTTTTTTTTCAAAATTTCTTGGACACTGGGGGCACCCCTTCAGATTTTGCCTTTGGACCCTGAAAGGGTTAATGACCGACTTACTGAGTGACTTGACTGACTTACTGAGTGACTTGACTGACTTACTGAGTGACTTGACTGAGTGACTTGACTGACCTGCTGATTGACTTCACTGATTTACTGAGTGACTTGACTGACTGACTGAATGACTTGACTGACTTACTGAGTGAGTTGACTGACTTACTGAGTGACTTGACTGACTTGCTGAGTGACTTGACTGACTTACTGAATGACTTGACTTACTGAATGACTTACCGAGTGACCTATTTTTCCCATATATTCTTCAGTTCATCTAACACGATTTTACCTAACACGGCATTTTCAGGAACGTAACTACTGGTCTACTGTACATATAAAATATGAAATAACTTTTAAAAACACTTGAAATTTTGGAGTTTCCAGACATAATGGAGAGACGTTGTGCTTACCGAGCTCACGGAGATTGTGAACAAACCAGGTGGGGCACAGTGACCATATTAGAAAGTCAGGTGGGGGAACTGTATAGCGAGTTTTGGTCATAATTTGAAATGTCCGTATTAATAGAATGCTGTAAAGTGGGGCCCTACTGTATGTCGCAAAGTGAGGAGAGGCTGTACAGAGAAAATTTGCAGATTATACATCATATTAAGCATGCATTACCTACACAAAAACTCCCAGTAGATAATTAAATTTTGCAACAAATTTTCAACAATAAGAGTACAGTAAATATAATACAACAGAAGTAAACCCTCTATTTAATGAACTAATGAGGGAGAGTGGGTGGCTAGTAACAGCCACTGTGGTAGACAGAGATAAGATTGTTTTGATGTGATCATACCAATAAATGACAATTCTGTAACCAATGTACCTTTATCATTTTTTTTCCTGAATCAACTAACCCAGCAGATTTTGTCTTGCATTTCCGAAGTCCATTAAACTGCAAGTGCTGTCTCGAAAAGAGAAATATTTTAACAAAGGAACAAAAATAACTCCTACACATAGGATCAAGAATCCTCTACAACTACAAGGGATCCCCCTTGATGTTTCTACCACTCTCCACCCAAAGTCATGGAATTCTACAGGGAACTATTTCCATTGCCACTCTGGAAATATGTATAGGTAGTTGCTTTGGTAGAGTTAGTCAGCAAACCAAAATTCCCTTAAAATAAATCTTTTAAAAAATTATGTATTAACAGACCTTTTTTTATGTGAATTATACCTACCATGGCATACAAACTTTTAATTTTGCACCAAAAGAAGCTTACTTACCAACTTAATGAGACACCAGAAACAGACCTCTCCGGAGAGATTTTTTGTGCAACAGGGGTCCAGTGCCAGTAAAAGACAAAGAAGTGAGGTAACCCCAGATAGGGACTTGAGACCTGAATTCCTTATGGAGAGGGATTCCCCTTCCAACCAGTAATCTATCCTCCGACCTCTCCCCTCCTCACGTCTTCCATATGCCAACAAGAGTCTTCAATACAGGTAAAAGTGATATTAAATGTTCATTTATCCATTTCATTAGTCCTTTATATTTATTTCTCATTGTTTTCTGTACATAAAACTAGTTATTTTCTATAAGATTTATTTTTTGTTAATACTTTTGGGTGTCTGGAACGGATTAATTGGATTTACATTATTTCTTATGGGAAGTATTGCTTCAGTTTTCATCAAATTCGGTTTTTGTCAGACTTTCTGGAATGAATTATTAACATAAACTGAGGTTCCACTGTACTGTACACCAGGTTGTTAAAAAAACATAACTTACTTACTTTTTTTTATTTTTATAGGTCTATCAAGAGAGAAAAGTTATTACATGCTGACCCCGTACAGCACCTTGATGAAAGTCAGATTGTCATCAAAACAGAGGAGCCGGAGAACAGGAGACGTCGCAAGTGCGTATGTTTATTGATATATTGAAACGATAGTTTTTTTAATGATTTTTAACTTCATCAGAGGTTGCCACGTAAAACTATGTCATTGATGTCAGGGGTCCATAATGTAGATCTATGCCTAAATTCTAGCAGCTTCAGATTTGGCAGGAGAGGCCTGGTAGGCCTACGTATGACAGACGATTGTTTAAAATTTAACCCGCTCTGAATACAGTGGACCCCCGGTTAATGATATTTTTTCATTCCAGAAGTATTGTAGATGAATGGTTCAGAGAACCGACATGTTGATAAATTAGACACATGTGCAACTCTTGGGTATCTTTATTGAGGAAACGTTTCGCCACACAGTGGCTTCATCAGTCCATACGTAGGAGAAACTTGAAGAACAGGAGGAGAATGAGGTAATCAGTCCCTCAACCTTGAGTCGATGTGTTCAGTCCATCAATCTTGAATAGAATACGGCATATGAGCGGAGAAGCAGCTTATAAACCGTATGGCAGGAGAGATGCAGCAGTCATAGGTGGTGTCACATTTGTTCAATGTGGAAGTAGGTTGTGCCCAAGAATTAGGCAAGCGAAGAATTCCTAAGTATTAGATCCCAAGAAGTTGCAGTGTCTGACAGGTTTGTAGATGAATGTTCAGAGAACCGACATGTGAAATTAGACACATGTGCAACTCTTGGTATCTTTATTGAGGAAAGTTCGCCACACAGTGGCTTCATCAGTCCATACGTAGGAGAAACTTGAAGAACAGGAGGAGAATGAGGTAATCAGTCCCTCAACCTTGAGTCGATGTGTTCAGTCCATCAATCTTGAATAGAATACGGCATATGAGCGGAGAAGCAGCTTATAAACTGTATGGCAGGAGAGATGCAGCAGTCTAGGTGGTGTCACATTTGTTCAATGTGGAGTAGGTTGTGCCCAAGAATTAGGCAAGCGAAAATTCCTAGTATTAAGATCCCAAGAAGTTGCAGTGTCAACTCCTTGGGATCTTTATACTTAGGAATTCTTCGCTTGCCTAATTCTTGGGCACAACCTACTTCCACATTGAACAAATGTGACACCACCTATGACTGCTGCATCTCTCCTGCCATTCAGTTTATAAGCTGCTTCTCCGCTCATATGCCGTATTCTATTCAAGATTGATGGACTGAACACATCGACTCAAGGTTGAGGGACTGATTACCTCATTCTCCTCCTGTTCTTCAAGTTTCCCCTACGTATGGACTGATGAAGCCACTGTGTGGCGAAACGTTTCCTCAATAAAGATACCCAAGAGTTGCACATGTGTCTAATTTATCAACATGTCGGTTCTCTGAACCATTCATCTACAAACCTGTCAGACACTGCAACTTCTTGGGATCTTAATACTTAGGAATTCTTCGCTTGCCTAATTCTTGGGCACAACCTACTTCCACATTGAACAAATGTGACACCACCTATGACTGCTGCATCTCTCCTGCCATACGGTTTATAAGCTGCTTCTCCGCTCATATGCCGTATTCTATTCAAGATTGATGGACTGAACACATCGACTCAAGGTTGAGGGACTGATTACCTCATTCTCCTCCTGTTCTTCAAGTTTCTCCTACGTATGGACTGATGAAGCCACTGTGTGGCGAAACGTTTCCTCAATAAAGATACCCAAAAGTTGCACATGTGTCTAATTCCAGAAGTATGTTCAGGTGCCAGTACTGACCGAATTTGTTCCCATAAGGAATATTGAGAAGTAGATTAGTCCATTTCAAACCCCCAAACATACACGTACAAACGCACTTACATAAATACACTTACATAATTGGTCGCAATGGGAGGTGATCGTTATGCGGGGGTCCACTGTATTTTGAAAAAATAAAAAAATTGTTTTTTGTTTTTAAATTGAAGAGTGCATTTTTATAAATGGTATAGGATAAAAAAAAATTTTTTAGGGTCAGTACTTACCAAGATATAAACCCGCGAAGTTGGTGCTAAATGATGAGGTGTTGGCAACCTGGAGCACTGCCGCTTGCAGAAATAATAAACATTTAGCATTTTTTCCAATTCTTTTCTATTTTTTGTTGTTTTTATGTTATGATAATAATGTTTTGTTCCAGATCTTTTGATTTCATAGCCAATTCATGTTGAGACACAAATGTTTGGTACTGAATTAGTAATCATACTGTCACAAACACACATGTTCACACTGATAAGTGAATTTGTACACCTGGTTCAGTCACATACTATTGTTTACATATATATACAAGGTATTTACAAGTCCCATTTATGTTTCTAGAAGTCCATCACTGTATGGTACTCCAAGAACCATGGATTCATACAGAGTGCCACCCCACATTGCTAACACATGTATCATGTGTCTTTTCGCACTTGGGGTTGCTGTTTAGTGTAAGCACACACAACACACTTTTTCTGAGAGTACTTCTTTTTTGGGGTAGATGGTAATGGTACCAGGCAGTGACAGTTAATGATTATTCGGTCAGGCACTTCCCCTCTTTTTGTGGAGTGACAGGTCGCTGTTGTGGGGTAACAGGTCGCTGTGGAGTGACAGGTATAGGTGTGGTACCATACTTTTTCGTTATCTGCTTGATGATATTGAGGGTGAATTCTGCATATTGTTGTTGCTCCCTAGTCTTTATTTCTTACATGTTGAAAGCATTGAGCATTGCAATGTCTGCAAGGTGGAAAAAACTTTTATATACCACTTGCAACTCCTACGCAAACAGTCAACAAACCTTATTATCATGTCACACTTGTTGGCTAGTCGCATATTGTTCGTATAGTTGATGACAGCAGCTGGCTTTACAATAGGTTCATTGTTGAACCTGCTCAGTCTGTCTGTACCATCTCGTTTCTGTGGATGGTTGATATCAACGTCACGTCCCGTTTGTCATGCCATGTCAGTGCCATGATGTCATTGGCGTGAAACACTTCTACTAAACTTCCTCCAGTGAACCTTGGCATGTGTTTTCTACTTCTCACTGTTCTACATACAGTGGACCCTCGCCTGACGAACGCATTGCATAACGTTAAATCCGGCTGGCGATACATATTAACGCAAAAATTTTGCCTCGGCTAGCGCTAAAAAACTCGCCCAACGCGATTCATTCCGTTCGAGACGCATCCAATTGCGGCCTGAGCGTGCCTCACGTGTCCCGTGGGTGCCAGTGTTTACAAGCCAGCCACCGCGGTCGCATCCAAACATACAATCGGAACATTTCATATTATCACAGCGTTTTTAGTGACTGCACCTGCAAAATAAGTCACCATGGGCCCCAAGAAAGCTTCTAGTGCCAACCCTACAGCAAAAAGGGTGAGAATTACTATGGATATGAAGAAAGAGATCATTGCTAAGTATGAAAGTGGAGTGCGTGTCTCCGAGCTGGCCAGATTGTACACAAAACCCCAATCAACCATTGCTACTGTTATTTTATTATTATTTTTTTTTATTATCACACTGGCCGATTCCCACCAAGGCAGGGTGGCCCGAAAAAGAAAAACTTTCACCATCATTCACTCCATCACTGTCTTGCCAGAAGGGGCTTTACACTACAGTTTTTAAACTGCAACATTAACACCCCTCCTTCAGAGTGCAGGCACTGTACTTCCCATCTCCAGGACTCAAGTCCGGCCTGCCGGTTTCCCTGAATCCCTTCATAAATGTTACTTTGCTCACACTCCAACAGCACGTCAAGTATTAAAAAACCATTTGTCTCCATTCACTCCTATCAAACACGCTCACGCATGCCTGCTGGAAGTCCAAGCCCCTCGCACACAAAACCTCCTTTACACCCTCCCTCCAACCCTTCCTAGGCCGACCCCTACCCCGCCTTCCTTCCACTACAGACTGATACACTCTTGAAGTTATTCTGTTTCGCTCCATTCTCTCTACATGTCCGAACCACCTCAACAACCCTTCCTCAGCCCTCTGGACAACAGTTTTGGTAATCCCGCACTCCTCCTAACTTCCAAACTACGAATTCTCTGCATTATATTCACACCACACATTGCCCTCAGACATGACATCTCCACTGCCTCCAGCCTTCTCCTCGCTGCAACATTCATCACCCATGCTTCACACCCATATAAGAGCGTTGGTAAAACTATACCTCATACATTCCCCTCTTGCCTCCAAGGACAAAGTTCTCTGTCTCCACAGACTCCTAAGTGCACCACTCACTCTTTTTCCTCATCAATTCTATGATTCACCTCATCTTTCATAGACCCATCCGCTGACACGTCCACTCCCAAATATCTGAATACGTTCACCTCCTCCATACTCTCTCCCTCCAATTGATATTCAATCTTTCATCACCTAATCTTTTGTTATCCTCATAACCTTACTCTTTCCTGTATTCACCTTTAATTTTCTTCTTTTGCACACCCTACCAAATTCATCCACCAATCTCTGCAGCTTCTCTTCAGAATCTCCCAAGAGCACAGTGTCATCAGCAAAGAGCAGCTGTGACAACTCCCACCCTGTGTGTGATTCTTTATCTTTTAACTCCACGCCTCTTGCCAAGACCCTCGCATTTACTTCTCTTACAACCCATCTATAAATATATTAAACAACCACGGTGACATCACACATCCTTGTCTAAGGCCTACTTTTACTGGGAAAAAATTTCCCTCTTTTCTACATACTCTAACTTGAGCCTCACTATCCTCGTAAAAAACTCTTCACTGCTTTCAGTAACCTACCTCCTACACCATACACTTGCAACATCTGCCACATTGCCCCCTATCCACCCTGTCATACGCCTTTTCAAATCCATAAATGCCACAAAGACCTTCTTTAGCCTTATCTAAATACTGTTCACTTATATGTTTCACTGTAAACACCTGGTCCACACACCCCCTACCTTCCTAAAGCCTCCTTGTTCATCTGCTATCCTATTCTCCGTCTTACTCTTAATTCTTTCAATTATAACTCTACCATACACTTTACCGGGTACACTCAACAGACTTATCCCCCTATAATTTTTGCACTCTCTTTTATCCCCTTGCCTT